TTTGTTTGCCAAAATCTTCAAAGACGAATAATTATTAATTACACACGTAACGTAAGTGTAGGTTTATCAGCATGCATTAGCATGTGTGGATGTTTGGTTCATAAATTTAAAATTATAATTTATAATCATTCTTGGTTTACGTATTTTTTTATAAGAGAAAATACTGTAACGAGTCACGAATCATGATTCGAACCATGGCACAAATCTTCATACTAAATACCCTCTTGATCTTGCAAAAATGACGTTTGTACATGCAATTAATTTTCTTCTTTTATTTTCCTCAATATTAGAGATGTCAAAATGAGTCTGATTTAGTGGATCAATACGAGCCTAATCCAACACAATTATTAGATGAATCGTACTTGATGCGATTTTTTAACAAAAAAATTGGTAAGGACATGACACGTTAAAAACCCGACATGAACACAGGCACAATAATGGCACGATGTTGTTCGTCTTTTATTATGTATTTTTTGTATAATTTTTTGGCCTTTATGTGATTTTTTTTCTTATCGAGATTTTGTCCCATTTTAATTTTAGCTTGGTAAAATTCTAATTTTACTGTTCCTTTATAATAATATGCTTTGTTTTTGTTAAAAATTAATATTTTTTTCTATTCAATGCGTATTTTCTTGTTTAGTTATGAGTTTTATATGGGGCACGATTAAAGCACAAGCACGTTAAGAGTACAATATGAATACAGATGGGTCATGAGCCGGGTTCGACGCTATCAATTGTAAAAAAGTACGACAAAAACACGATACAATTATTATATGGACCGGCACAACCATAACATGAAGCACGAAAGGGCCCAAAATAAATGGGTTGGGCTGGGCCAAGCTGGCACGTTTAACATCTCTAAATACACTAAAACTAATTGAGTTGTACTTGAACATGTAGTTAAGTTTAAACTATTAGATGATGAAAAAATGATTTTAATCCATTGACAAATTAGGTTAATTATGATTTGGATATTTTTTGGCCATCTAACTATTGAAATTGAATTAATACAATACATTTCAAAAAAATAAGTATCTTTTTAGAATAATAAGATGCATATTTAAAAAAAAAAAAAAAAAAAAAAAAACACAATGCAATAACAGAACTTTGATGTAGGCATACTTTTCTTTTTTATATAACCATTAAAACACATATAACTTGTGGTTTTAATAGTTATTTTAATATTTATTTGTTGATAAGTATTATTATTTTAGCCGTATGATATTAATAAATTAAACAATTAATTAAAAAATATATAATAATTAATAAAATTAAATTCTTATCACACTATATCATTAAATTTCTATATTTAATAGATAACCACCAATAAAAATATCTATACATAGAAGCTAGCTTTGTATTGAAGAGCGTAAGACTAGTACGCTTTCCATGATTTAGCATTTAGGTTATGATTTTTCATTTAATGGGTATTGGTGCTTCACAGCGAAGGAGCAAGAGGTAACATGTACGTTATTGTGTATTGTTGATTCAGTGACGAGCCATAGGAATTACTTGTGGACTGAAGGCTAGCCCATCTTAAACCTTCTCAGCCAGAGAGTGGGCTTAGGTAAAACATCGGGCCTGTAGTTGATTGGACCTCAAAAGAAACATTTTTGGGGTCATTTTTTTAAAATACTCTTGAGACAATTGCTTTTATTTCTACCCTTTAATATTAGTTTATATATTTTTACTTTTTAAATTAAAATTAGTTAAAAGTAGAATTTAAAAAAAAAACACTTTTAACAAGTAAAGTACTTAAAAATATAGAATCTGTAATTTTCTTTATTTTTTTTCATGGGTTCTTATGGGCTATCATTCTAACCCATTCCAGATTATTTTTTAGGGAATTTTTAAAAATGTCACCACTAAAATAACGCTATTATATTTCTACCACTGTTGTTAAATTTATATTATGCCACTAATAATTGGTAGGTTATGTTATTTTTTGTAATGTGCAAGTTATCTTTTTGTAAGTTACAAGTTATCTTTCGTAACCTGCAAACTATCATTTCGTATTCTATAGGTTATTTTCATAGTGGCATCAAAATTTTGTACAATGACATAAATAATAGAATTGAAAGAAACAATGGTTAAACTTGAAGTTTTCTCTTTTTTTCTGCAGATCATTAGGAATTATTATGGCTTCTAAATAAAATATTTACTTAATCTAGTTTTTTCTCTTCTTTAATTTTTTTTCCCCTTTCTTCTATCCTTTCCTCAATTTTTTTTTTTTTTTTTGCTCTCAATTATTTCCCCAATTTCTACCATTAATTTTAATAATTTAGAACCCTCTTAAACTATGTTATTTTCCTTTTTTTTGTGCGTACCTGTTGAAAATCATGTACGTTAGATGATCTTAATAGTAATTCACTAGTTTGTATATCAATTCCATCATACTTACCGGTTTCCAAATCCAATAACAGTGAAAACGAAGAATCATATATAGAAAAACACTTATAGTAATATAGAGTTTATCTGGTAGTTCCCGAAAAAATAAATTATTGATAGTTCACAATTTTTTAATCTTAAATTTGAATAAAAATTTATCTATTCTACATATTTTTTCAATCTGATTTGATTTTAATCGGATCTAATGGTGGTCTAGGTCCCATAGTATTATAGTGTTCTTTTTCTTCTTGAATAGTTTCTCGGTATTATTGTTTTTGAGTCCATTTTAAGATTATTTACCCATGCACGTCAATGAGACTGATAAGGCCTCACGTTGCTACCTAAAATCTGAAGTCCCTAACCAATTTCATTACCTGGAGAAGACAAAGAATATTTTATTCCACTCCAAAATAATTGGAACAAAAAGTCCAAAACCCCAAGTATATTATCCCGAATTAGCCTATTCTACACCTCCAAATTTCCGAAGCTCAAACCAAAACCACCTGTCCAAAGACCACAAAGAGCAACAAAAACAACAAACAAATAAATAAACAAACAAATAAATAAAACCTTGGTCAAACTCAAAAACTCAGCACCAATTGTCAATTCCCAACTAACCAATTTACCCCCATCAGATTCGCTGTCTTTTGAACACAAAAAACTCCTCCAAATAAAGAAACCAATATTTGAAACAAAAAAAATCATAATAATAATAAGAAAAAACAAATGCATGATCAAGATCAACCTCGTTCCCATTGTTCTTCCCCTTCCATTACTCCTCTTGCCTCTACCACACCTTGAGATCATGCCACCCCTTCCCTCGTCGTCCTCCTAGGCGGCGGCGGCAGCGGGATCCATTTCGACGTCGGCGTTGAATAAAAAAATATTATTTAAAGAGGAATAATATCCTATATTTTTTTTTTGGCAATACTATATTACAACAATGGCGATTCTGAATCCGTTCCAGCTTTTAGAGCTGAACGTGATTTCGGCGCAGGACCTTGCGCCGGTGTCGCGATCGATGCGGACCTACGCCGTTGCGTGGGTCCACCCTGACCGGAAACTGTCGACCCGGGTGGACACATACGGCCACACCAACCCCACGTGGAACGACAAGTTCGTATTCCGTGTCGACGAGGATTTTCTCCATACCGATACCTCCGCCATCATGATCGAGATCTACGCCTTGCACTGGTTTAAGGATGTCCATGTCGGCACCGTCCGCATCCTCGTCGGCAACCTCATCCCCCCGCCCCGGGCGGGGTCGTCCTTCGGCCACGGCCACAGCCACAACAACTACAACCAGCTCGGAATGCGGTTCGTCGCGCTGCAGGTCCGCCGGCCCTCCGGTCGACCGCAGGGAATTCTTAACATCGGTGTCGCAATCCTCCACAGCGCCATGCGGAGCATGCCGCTTTATTCCCATCTGAGCAATTCTGCAGTCGGGTACCGCGAATTGATGGGCGAAGAAGACCCGATTCACCACCACAGCCACCACAACAACAGCGGAACTCCGCAGAGCAACAGCCATGTTCTCGGGATATTGAAGGAGCTGCGGCGGACGAAGAGCGATACGAGCTCCATGATAGGGTCGGAAATTAGGGCAAGGGAGTTTAGGGGAAAGGGCAAAAAGGGAAAATCGAGCTCGATGGTTAACGGGTCGGAGACGGGGTCGAAGCTGCCGAGGAATAAAGGGCGGTCGAAGGGGAGTTCGGTGGTCAGCGGCGGCGGAGGAGGGTCGGAAGTTGGGAAGAAAGGGAAGGGCAAAAAGGGAAAAGCGAGTTGTGTTGTTAACGGTGCTTCAGAAGTCGTTGTGGACCCGCCAAATAATAATAAAAAGAAGGGCAAAATTGGAAATGCAAGTTCTGTTGTAAGCAGCAACTTGGAAGTCGCTGCCGAAAAGACAAATTATAAAAAAAAGAGCAAAACAGGAAAAGCGAGTTCTGTGATTGACGGTTCGGATAGTGTTGTGAGTGTGGGCCCGGACCCACCTAAGAAGGGCAAAAGTGGAAAAGTGAGTTCGATAATTAACGGTAATTCGGAAGCTGATGAGGAGTATTTCCCGCCAAAAAAGGTTGTGGAGGTTAAGCCTATTTTGAAGCCCTTGGTTGCAATGGAGGCCGTTCCCCCGCCGGTGAATAGCTCGCCGAAAGTGAAGCCGTCACCGAGATTCAATCTGATGGATCACGGTGGCGGCCCGTACAAAGCCACGCCGCGGCGGCAGCGGCAGCAAGGGAAATCTCCGTTCCACAATAGCAAGTTTCAGTCGCCGTACGAGTATGGAACTCCAAGGAAGTCGACGCTGATGGGCGGTGGCGGGATGGTGTTCTTGACGGAGTCGGAGCTAGGGCCTTCCCCATCGGAGGTGGCGGCTGCGCTAGCGAAGCAGCCTGCGGACGAGGCGGAGAGCTCGATTGTCGGAGGGTGGAGCGTGGACGAGAGCGTCGAGGGGCTGCGGTCGAAGCTCGAGCGGTGGCGCACGGAGCTCCCCCCGGTGTATGACCGTGGTGAGTTCTCGAGCTACCCGTCCACCGAGTCACACCACAATCGGCGGCACACGGACGGCGGCAGCGGGCTGTTCTCATGCTTCAGTAACATCTGTGGGGTGGAATGCTCCATTGTCTGCGGGTCCGGCAGCGCTTCGGGTTCAAAGAGAAGTGGCAGTGAGAGAATTATTCGGAGCCCCTCGGCGGAAAATCTCAATTACAAGTAACGAACCTGAATCCGATGGTCTCAGGGGTCTTGTTTTCGGAACGGGGCAATGCGGCGGCGCCGGAGATGTATGGGATTTGATCACGTCGGTTAGGCCAAAGTCTTGTCTTCTCTTGCTTTTTTCTTTGTATTCCTTTTTGTTGTGTATTTCATATAATCATTCTTTTGAGCCTTCAATCATATACAAAATTACATTTCTGCAAAATCATTGTCGGATTTTGTAGAATTAGTAATATCAGTTTCTCCATAAACATATGAACAATTTATTTATATTAAAGTATCAATAATGTGGTGTGGGTATTAATTGTCTATAATTATATCTACCTATTTTTGTTCAACTTTTTCTATCAGCTCCAAGTAACTCTAGTCTCTAGATATAAAGAGGCGGGAAGTAATTAATTACTTAAGTAATTAACCCTTTTCTCATGGAGCTACGGATAAAAAAATATCTTCTTTTTTTTAAATAAAAAAAAAAGTCAAAATTTCATTCAACTGAAATAAATATTAATGTTTAGTGATGGAAAGATGACTATAATAGTTTCACAATTATTTTGCAAGAGAATTAGAATTTAAAATAGTCGCAAACTAACAAAACAAGCTCTAGTCATCATGAACAAATTATGGCTTAATTTGATGAATAATACAATTGGTTCAAAGCTTTAGGCACAGCATTAGTCCATTTTGGGGTTCTTGGGAATATTTGGAAGGACATTTCAGAGAAGATTTGGAAGATTTAATTGACATATTCAAATTAAGATATTTGCAGATTTGTTGGAGAAAATGTGCTCATATGGAAAAGTGATTTGCTGCATAATTGATTTGAATAGATTTGAAGAGATATCTTGGATATTTGATTTGAAGTGTAAATGGTATTGATCTTGGTGCCAAAGTAGTATATGCTGCATGTGCTTTGAAAAATAAGGAAAAATCCGGATTGGTGCTATTGCTATATATGTAGCATGTGTGTACGTGAAGTGATGGTCTTGGATGAGAAAAATGAGCCTTTGTGTTTTATGGTTTTAAAAAACAATCCAAGCTGGCCATATTATGGGGCATGATTTTTATAGAAGAAATATTCAAAAAAAGTCTATGTGAGAGTGAGCCTTTATGTGTTGATTGAAGATCGTTCTTCAGGAAAAGGATTAGAAGCTTTCGGGGGAAAGCGCACTGCCAGTCGAAGGGATTTCGCCGTGCAGTTAAATACGAATGGTGCTCGCTGGACAAGACTTAACATTAGGAGATGCGACACGACGGCGACAACGTCAATGAGGGAGTCTTTGAGTGTATAAGTCCAGTTGGTGTTTTGTAACTTAGTGGATTGTTCAATGTCTGAGCGTGGCCTCGCAGAGTAAGTGTGCACACCAAACTGCGATACCATTTTCGTGTGTTCTTTATGCTTTATGTTATTTTATTGCACTCACAATCACTGAAACTAAATTAAAAAAAAAACAGATCCGTCTACACTTTTACTGTCATAAGTGTTACAACTAGTGTTGCGCAACACTCTTTGTGACACCGACTGAAAAACGGACCTAACAAGCTTATTTTCAAATAGTTTGGTACCTAGGAAGCCTCAAGTTTGAGTCCGATAGAAAGTACTTGAGACTATTTGTAGACTATCAGCTCAATATTTATTAATTTTTATGTTTTGTCTCCCGATATTAATGTGTGAAAACACCTATGATTACGACCTATCGACATAACTGAAAATCTTTAACGGTTTCTTAATTTTTTTAGTACGAGAAATGGCACACTTCAGAAATTCTTTTTTAACTAGAAAATCACCCGTAAAAAGAAATGATTCACATGCAAGTCCAAATCCAAAGCTTGCACGTTTAACATGTCCCCGCCCTTGTGAAATCAATCATTTTCATTAGAACATTTCACTATTCTCATTTTCATTATAGTGTTTCACAAAAAATGAAAGGATACATCATTTACTTAATTTTTTCGGTGCTAATGTCCATTTGAATTATTAAAAAGGACATGGGCTTGATGTTTATATGGGTTAGATATTATGTATATCATTTTCATTGTTCTTGAAGATTGTCTTGCTTGAAGGGGTTATAGATTGCGACACCTATTGAGAATGACTTTATGCAATATAACAGGATCATTGTCTTTCCCAACTATATATGTATTTTTTTCAGAAGCAAACAAGAGTGGTTTCATTATAGTTGTACAATGGGAAATTATGATTATTTTCTCTAAAATGTAACATTATATAGTGATTCATAAATGGACACTCTTAGCCAGCTGTCTCTATCCTACACATCAATTTCCAAGCCCATCACTAGTTTGGAAACAGAAAATTGGATATGAATTGTCTTTTATGGGATTGAGAATCTTCCTTTGCAAGACACACAATATTTTGTCCCCTTCTTTTTCTTTTGTGTCTGCAATTTTCTTCCACACATGTCAATTTATTTTTGAGCTAATCTTGGGGAACTCTCTAGTTAATGGAGAAATATCCAAAAGATCGTGCATATTTTGTCAAAATTTAATATTTTCACCTTTTTTCTATTATGTAAATGGTCAAAACACCCTCCCGCATTTATAAAAACATATCCAAAACATTTTCTGAAGTAATTAAATTTTTAAAAAGACATGATTAACCTTCCAATCTATTGTAAATGTTATTTTAGATATGATTTAACTAAAAAATTAAAGAAAAAATTTTAAATACTGAAATGAATATTTCAATTATTTTGAGAGTTTTCATGTTTTAAGATTGATTTTACTTAATATTTTGGTTTAATAATGCTTTAAATAGTATTTAATAAATATTGAGAAGGATAATTTTGATATTTTGAAAATGAGAAAATTTTAAATTTAACCATTATTTTTTTCAACTCAATTATTTACGTCGCTGTATAAAATTTTTATGCCACTACGGAAAATAACCTGCATGATATGAAAGATAACTTTTAGGTTACAAAAGATAATCTGCAGGATACGAAAAATAACTAGCAGGTTACGAAAGATAACTTACGAATTATGAAAAATAACCTATAAATTATTAGTGGTATAAGTTAAATTTAATAACATTAGCATAAAAAAAAGGCATTTTTAAAAAATCCCTTTTAAAAAAATTAGGTTTTTTAAGGGGTATTTTGGGTCTAAACACAATGGTGTTTTGGTATTTAAATAATGGAAAAGACGAAAGTGATATTTTGACAAAATACACAGTGGGTGTTTTTGGATATTATCTTTAATTAATACTAATAGTAGTAATTAGTAGTGGAACTTTTAGGTCATGTTTTTGTTAACCGTTTATCAAGATCCAATGGTAATGTGGGAAACGAATGTGCATGATTAATACGTGTTCTCATCAACAATTACAATATTAACCGTGAATTTCTTATTTATGAAATGTGCGCCCTTTATAGAATGGGAAAGTCTACAATAGGGAATGGTACGGATTTCCTATAGGTGGTGAGTGATCTAACGGTTGTAAAAGGTACGACGTTTTGTATGGTCCTTTCTTTGATGAATTAGAGAGCACCTGATCATAAGCAACTTGTTTGTCAAACGACAAGGTGCGCTTAGTAACGACATGTGTATTAGGACCAGATAGATGTCGTTTAATTCCATCTTCTTATGCTCCGCGAGATACAGATCAAGAGTCATCTAGATTTGTTGTCTTAAGGGAATATATCTAATCAAACGTACATAAAAATGGAAAGATGTTGCTCTCCCCTCTGCCACATGTCAACGTCTTATTTCTCTCTTTTATTTTTATTTTTTACATTTTCTTATTTCTAATCTTTTTTTTTGTTTATTTTTATTTTTTTTCTTATTTCTATTCTTCTTTTACTTTTTTTCTTCATAGTTCTTTTAATCTTTTACCAAGTGCTCTTTTATAATTTAATCTTTTTGTAAAATACTTTCATAATTTTCTTTTCTCTTTTTATTCTATTTAAAATAATTCATTTTATATGTACTTCATAAATAATTTACTATGTGATCCTTTTAAATGTGCTCTATTAAACTTTTTTCCTTTTTTACTAAACTTAATTATTAGGTGAATAATAAATAAATACAACTAAATTTTAAAAGAAATTTTAGATTTTCATATAAAAAATATAAAGAATGCACGTGCGGGGGGGCGTGTGCTTATAACTAGTGATAATAAAAGAGTCAAAAAAATCAATTGAGTTAAGTGCGCCAATCAATGAGAATTAGTTCATTTTTTTTTTTTAAAGAACAAATTGAGAGATCTATTCTAAATGCGAAAATTTTGATCTTACTGGCAAAATACTTTGATTTGCTAGTCTATTCTAAGGGAGATTAAATTGATTCCATTTAATAAGTGAATTTTGATTTTCCATTCGATAACGATTTGAAAAAAAAAAAAAATCAACTCCTAGTTCGGTTTTCATCCTTTACGGTGGATCTTATTCTCAACTTTTTGTATGTTGATTCCACAATAGAAGTCAAACATGGAGTAGTCTCTAAAGCAACTAAGGAACAGTGTGGTTTTTGTTTTTTTTTTTTTATGGATTTAAAAGTTGTTATTGATCACTTGTGACACACACATGACACTTTATTGTGATAACAATCAAAATCAAGAAGTCACAAGAGGGGGAAAAACATAGAACGAAATTGTCACATGATGTCGGAGATAGTTCATTGCAAGGATGTGACAGTGTACAAGGTATGGGAAAATAACATTGTTGATTGTTTTACAAAGACTTTGGTCCCGTTCACTTCACCAATTCGAGTTTTGCTACAGTAAAAAGTTCTCATAAACAATCACATCTAACTTTTTTACTACAGTAAAAAGTTCTCACATAAAATCACATTTCAACTCGAATTACAAACTCGAATCAGCGAAGTGAACGAGTTGTCGCCAAGAAGTTTCGAAGGTCGCCTAAAAGGCTTGGAGATGCGAGATACGTGATGTATGCCTTAGGAAATTCGAAAACGGAGTAAAACATAGACAAACAACTCAAATTCAACATTTTTTTTTTTTGGCTAATTTTATTACGAAAAGAGCAC